TGGTTAAAGTGTGTGCGCCCCCCCCCCCCCCCCCCCCCCTTCCGCAGTGTCTTTGATGTGAACCAGCAAGTTGCAAGCTGAAACCTGTGAAAATAGGGTAAACGAGTCACCGCAGTGCCACCATCACAGCTGGTGCCGAGCTGTTCATTTTGTCTCTTGGGGTCACAAATGGCATCCAGCCTGAATTGACAATACCCGAGGCAAATTGACACATGTCGCATCACCTGGAATGGACCTCCATCAATAGAAGCGACACGGCCCCAATACACTAATTCAATTGATTGAGGACCGTTCATCAGATCCGCGACCAAGTTCATACTCCTAGAGAAGGAGCTCGCGGCGTTAAAGTCGGTGGTCACCATCACCAAGTGAAGCACAGCTTTAGCAATACTACCTGTGCACGTACCGCATACGAGTCAAACGAAAACCAAGGATTGAGTATCTGCAGTCGACCAACTTTCTCAACTTTGAAGTCTACCCAATCACCAGTCCGTTTCCACCGCTGCTGCCACGTAACTTCATTCAACTCAGTGCAGCCCTAGACCTTGCGTTGTAACATTGGGGTGACCGCCGACTCCTTGGCTGGAACAAGCACTTTCAATCATGTCACCTGCTGCTAGTCGTGCCATTAGGCGGCTCATTATTCCCAGCGTATTTGTAGCTGGTGGAGGAGCACTGATGTGCAGCTACAGACCTCGAAATATTCCGGGCTCCTCCTCTGCTGCAGTTCCGCCACCTACTTGCGGTCCAGATGGATCCATTACCATGCCACGGTTCCCGAGCATCAAGTCACGACGTGAATAACTGGCAGACTTGCGTCGAAGTGCCGATCCGGATACCGGGAACGAATACGATATGCTGATTATTGGAGGAGGAGCTACAGGTGCTGGCGTAGCGCTTGATGCTGCCTCGCGGCATGAGAGTAGCCCTTGTCGAACGAGATGATTTCAGCAGTGGCACAAGTAGCAAGAGTACCAAGCTTGTGCATGGAGGTGTCCGCTACCTAGAAAAAGCAGTGTGGAATCTCGACTATAGCCAGTATCAACTCGTCAAGGAAGCACTAAAGGAAAGGAAATACTTCTTACAGACCGCTCTGCTGCCTCTTGATAAGTGGTGGAAAGCGCGCCTTACTATTGGGCGGGCACCAAGTTTTACGACTTCTTGGCCGGTAGCGAAGGAATCGAAAGCTCCTATTTCTTGACTCGGAGCAAAGCTCTCGAGGCATTCCCTATGCTGAAGCAGACGGATTTGGTTGGGGCCTAGTCTATTACGATGGAGCGCACAACGACTCGCGGATGAATGTTTCAATTGCCATAACTGCAGCTCTTTATGGCGCGACAGTTGCCAACCATGCTCAAGTCACCGGCCTCACCAAAGAGCTGAAATCAAGGATCTCATCGCCGCTCAAGACGGCGGACCGGTGGAAGAGTTTACAGTGCGAGCGAAGTGCATAGTCAATTGTACCGGCCCATTTACCGACTCGATAAGAAAGATGGACGACCAAGAGTGCAAGGAAATTGTTGCTCCTTCTTCTGGCGTACACGTCATTCTTCCCGGTTACTACAGCCCTGGAAAAATGGGACTTCTTGATCCTTCTACATCTGATGGCCGTGTTATCTTCTTTCTCCCATGGCAAGGCAATACCATCGCAGGCACCACTGATTCACCAGCGCCAATTTCATCCACTCCGCTACCGGATGAGGACTCTGTCAAGTGGATATTTGGAGAAATCAGCCAGTATCTGTCTCCGGAGATCAATGTGCGCCGAGGGGATGTGCTGGCGGCATGGTCTGGAATCCGGCCGTTGGTCAAAGATCCAAAGGCCAAGAACACAGAATATCTGGTACGCAACCATCTTGTTGACATATCCCCGTCTGGTCTCTGACTTGTGCTGGTGGGAAGTGGACTACTTATCGCCAAATGGCAGAGGACTGTGTCGACGCTGCCATCAAAGAGTTTCAACTTAGTCCTAGTCCTGTTATCAACGCACCACGCGTCAGTGACACTGAAGTGATTGACGACGGTGCTATTTTGGATGGCTCCTGCCAGACTCACAAGGTTCGCTTGATAGGCGCCCATGGTTTTAGCAGAACACTTTTCATACCAATTATTCAGCATTTTGGCGTTGAGACGGAAGTAGCCAAGCATTTGACGGAAAGCTATGGGGATCGGGCCTGGACTGTTGCAGGACTGTGTAGGCTGACTGGCCAGAGATTTCCGGCTCGAGGAGAGCGTATATCACGCTTGTATCCATTTGTGAACGGTGAGGTTCGTTATGCAGTAAGGCACGAGTTTGCCCAGACAGCTGTTGACGTTTTGGCACGCCGAACCCGGCTCGCTTTCTTGAATGCGCAGGCAGCTCTGGAGGCGCTCCCTGGCGCAATCGATATCATGACCGAGGAGCTTGGTTGGGATTGTCAGCGCCAAGATCTTGAATGGAAAGATGGTAAGCATGTTCCTCTCCTCTGTCCCTTGGTTGGATGCGTGCCCCCGTCGGCACTGCAGTTCCTAAATGACCAAAATTTTGAAAGAGCAAGGCGGAAAGACCCTGCCTATACACGACAAGCATACCCCCCTTTAGAAGTGATGCATTTACGCTAACCAAACGATCGTAGCTGTGGCTTTTTTGAAATCCATGGGCCTGCCGCAACCAATGCTTTCGGCTTCAAGGAGGCAGGTAGAGACACATCAGCTAGATTTTGCAAATTCACTTGAGTGGAGCATGTATTCTCGGCACGATAAGCCCGTTGATGGTTGACTCGTTGACGAAAACACGCAATGATTGGATTCCTGGAATGCTCTGGCTCGTGGCAGGTAATTCTTCTTATTTCTTGAACGATTTTTAAGACTCGGGTTCTGAGAAAATGAAGTGGAAGTTAAGAGCTAAATGTAAATAATAGGCGCAATCAAAGCGATGGGGTGACAATTCTGGGTGGAAAATGCCGGCGCTCGTAATACCAGGCCGACCACGAGACTTGATCTTGGTCTGTCGCGGAGTTTGGTATGGCATGAGAAAGTCCGAAGCATCTGTGAGTTTACTGCAGATGAGACTGAACTTTTGAGAGAAGTGGAGGGACCTCTACAAGCCTTTCTTGGGGACTCTTATATTTCCTCTCGCCTAGCTAGGTGCTTTTGATCTCGTGTAGCTTACTGGTGGTATCATGCTGTGCAATACTCCGGGTGCGACCCAGACGAGTACATGCTTATAGGAAGGGCATTGGCTCCGATTGAGACCATTTACTTCGGCTCTTCGGTGTTTTGAGCTCCGCGCTCTACATCTACATGTACAAACAGGCTGGACGTAGTGTGTTTGCGTGGAGCAGGCATAAATCGTCTTTCATAAGAGCTCGTATCCCATGCATACCGTTGCAATCTTCCACTTACTTTCAAGCTTGTCGCGACAGCATCAGTAAGGCACATATATTACTGGGTGCTCAGAGAGCGATATAAGACTCCTTTCGCCCAGTCTCAGATGAAAGGTTTTATTCGTCCCCACATTCTTATCCATGATCAAAAGCACAAGGGGGAAAGAATCCAAGGGTCAAAGACTGCGGAGTGCGACATGGGCTGAGTCCCCAGGCCAGGATACTACGAATTGCTCGCCAGCAACAGTATGGGCTTCACTACCGGGGTTCAAGAGGCAGAGGGTACTTGAAAAGACAAAAACGCGGTGGTACTATACCAAAAGGAACGACAGTTGGGCTGCAAGTGGAGCAAGATCCATAAGCTGACGCTCGTGGAGGATAGATATCTAGGCATCTTCTGACAGAGCAGTGTAGACTTTGCAATGCTTTGGCGCTGTAGCTGATTGTACGAGAGGATGGTATCCAGTAATTTCAACTCAAACGTGGCTCAAAATTATGGTAACTCGATTCGAAATGATGGCCACACGTGTCGCGAGATCGGCTGCAGGCAATGGGCTAATTGTGGTGAATAAACTCGTGGCGGGAGGGATCTCATGGATGATGGCCGGCCTTCGCCCTAAGGTGAGTGGAGAAGGCTCGAGCATAATGTGACCTACGGTGACCTACCGACGCGCTCCGAGATGAAGACGACGAAGGGTCGACTCACTGTGCACTGTGCCTGCTAACATGATATCGGATTGAAAGCCAGGATATCTGGGTTTGTTGTTTATCCCTAGGTGCCATGGCTTTCATGCAACAAGAATTTACACGGCAAGTTTAGAACATCCATGTATCGTCGTGTATCATTTTCTCTTCTAGTAAACGACAACATATCCTGGTAACAGGAAAAAATAAAACAATCAAGAATTCCTCGGTGTGTACACTACCCCAAGCTAAACTCCATGGTATACTATGCCTCTCTATGATGCTTAAATCTCCGTAGATGCAACTCCGTTGTCATGATGAAACGCTAACGCTAATGATGATTGACGTCGTCCTTCGATCCCGAACCTAGTTGGTCCCTGCTCGAGTCAAAACCGAAACTCCCGGCTCCAATACGTTGGTGTGATGTGTACATGAGAAAAGAAAAAAATCTGAGCATCCATTCATATGGACAGGAAGTTGAATCCGCTGCTCAGGTCCTCGTGGCAGTCTCTTGACTTTACATTGAATGCAATAACAACGAAATCGACCAAGAGCATTCGGAACTGTTTTTAAAACAGTGGCGGCCGGCAATTTCGTTTGTATGGGTTTCCATCAAGGCAAACAGCCAGTGACGAACAATTGTATTGGAAAGGCCATATACGAAACATTCCGTCATTTGGTAATGCTGTTGTGAAATAGCTCGAGGCGGAACAAAACAACTTCTTGTCACGGTAGCTCCTTCAAGGGTGGCTGTGACTTGGTTCCCCAATAGCCGCGTCATAATCAGAAGATGAGGATGTTGGGGTTGACCGACGACTAGAGGTTTTTCGACTAAATCCCAATTTTTCGCCAACTTTTTTCCAACCTTTATTATGCGCAGCCATGGCACGTTGAAAGCCGCCTGGAGAGGAATTGAACGTGTACTCTGAAGTTGGAGGAGTAGTCGGAGGGGTCATGGGTTCTGGCCCAGATGGTGAATTGCTATCACTATCATCGGTAAGGCTGTCGAAGTCGGCTGAATGAGGAGAAGCTACTGAACGTCGGGGTTGATCTGAATGTTGGGCGGTGTTTTGAGACCGGCGGCGTTGGTGGTGTTGGCTACTGTCGTCATTCTGGCCCATGAAATGAAGAGGGGCGACAGACTGCAAGAACGGAACCAAAAGGGAGTCATTCATAAGTTCGTAAATGATTCGACCAGCCTCTTCCAATTCTGCGGGATGCGGAGCAGCCGGACCGCTAGGCAGACTAAGGAGACGATCTCTGACGCGGGCCGGAATATTCACCTCCCTAGGTGCACAGGGAACAATATACACCTCCATGAGTTTGTCCCACAAACCGCACACACGTGCATTGCTTTCCTGAGATGGAGGGTTTTCTGCGGCAAGTTGGTCGTAGAACGCAGCATATCGCTGTGAGTCGAGAGTGAACTCCAGCGTTTCCATGCAATGGTTTTGTGACAGATATGCCATGAAAGCGCTCAAAGTCCAGGGGGGTGGGGAGACGTCGAGCAAAATCTCAGTTAATGTTGGAGGTCTAGTTGCCATCTCGATGGGTTGAGGCGATGGCGAAGGTGACATATAAATGCCGCTAACGTGGCGGGAAGACGTAGTACTGAAAGAACAGCAATCCTCAAATGCGGATAGAGGCGGGGAAACGTGTTCTTTTCGTATCGGTATAGTTAGATAGACTGGAGATGTTCGCCGTAACCTGGGTTTGACCATGTCTACTCAGCACTCGGATGAGTATGAAGCCTACCCGCTGGGTGATGGCAGACAAGAGATAGTATAGCCGACCGGAGTAAAGTGTCGAGCCGAGCGGACAATTTCGTCGGGAGACTGGGCGGACGTGGGAGCAACAGACGACTGGTTGGGTCTCCCAACTAATGCCCTCCAATTTCGGGTTCTGTGTTGTTGCCGCCTTGTAAAGCTAGTCGACCAAGAGAAAGAGGAAAGCAAAGGAAGAGAGGGAAAAAAAAAATAACAATAATAAACAAAGAAGTTTTCCCCTGCGACGCAGACAAGCCTGCGAAGTATTCGGGCGGGGTAGGATTGCGTGGTCTGAAAGTTGCAACAAATCCCCCCTTCTGTGTAATATCGGGATACGTTTGATTCCAGCTGCTGGCGTGGCTAATAAATGTGAAGCAGATGACCAAGGTGGCTGGGGGAACTCCAGTCAAGATGAAACCTGTAGTCAGACATGCATAAAGTCCTGCTGCAAAAGAACAGTCCGTGGACACACAAAATGTTGCCGATACTGCAGACTCGAAATCAGAAAAGCGCGCGCATCCGCAAGTCTATACAAAGACAGTTTGGCTAGGCACCGAACGAGGGCTTCAAGGTCTGGTATTGATTGGTGTCGACGGGAAGTTTGCGAGATGCCGGGTGTCGTAGCTGGTGACTAACCCTAAGATCCCCAGGGTGTTCTTGACTACCGCTAAGCACTGTGACGACGCTGCGCTTCACGTTCTCGGCCTGATACACGTGTGAAAAAGGGTGCTGATTTGTTGACGTTGTCGCGATGTAGCCGGTAGGGTTTTGTGCTGCAAAAGGTTGGCAGAGTGCAGGCTGAGGCGAGGGCCCAGGTTGGAACGTGGCTAGGAAATGGAGACGGTCGAGGAGAATGGAGCAGGAAGGGGAGCGACAAACGTTCAGCAACGTGCTTGGGATACCGAGAAGGGTAAAAAAAGGAAGAGACCAGTACGACCAGCTAGAATGGGGGATGCGACATGTATGTATGTAAGGGCGACGGAGGTGAGGAGCCGGTGGGGGGTGGATGAGGATGAGCACAAGAGACTTGACGATTTGATGATGGCAGATGGTTCAGTAGTGTTAGTGTGTGTACATAATGCGGGCACAGGACCATGTCCGAGAGGAGCGGCGACGGCGAAGGAGCAGGGGGGGATCTAAGGCGGCGGCGGACAGTCGGCAGTGGAGGAAAGCAGAGAGGATGGCCCTTGGAAGAGGTGGGGCGGAGGGGGCACCTGGAGGGGGCAGGCATTGAGAGAACAGGCCGTCGAGGCCGTCGAGGCCAACCAGTCCAACCAATCCAACCAAGCCTACCAGGTCCTTGCTTGTGCGTGCCACCAGCCCGCGCTAGGAACTAGCATTTGGGCAGGGAGGCAGGGACAGACAGCAGGGAAAGGCAGGGAGGGCTGTGGGCTGCTGTGGGCTGGAGAGACACCAGTTGACCAGTCAAGTCTGGTTGGCGACGGCATAGAACTTTGGAACATTGGAAGGCATCAAGGCAAACAGCTCCGCCCACCGCCCATGCGCGAACCGGCACGCAAGGCCATGCGTACGTGCAGGTACTTCAGGACGTCCCTTGAATGCTCGTCATGCAACGCCACCGCAGTTGCAACCACGATTGAACGGCCGACAAGGGGTGTATCTGTGATGTGTGTCTGGGGGCAAGAAGGGCGAAGGCCCGGGGGGGTTCTGAAACGTGAAGATTTGTTTGTTTACTGGGTTCAACATGGAAGCTTCCAGGACGAGAACCGACTTTGCATTCGTGAACCCCCTCCTGTACGAGTGAGCACATCGGCTCCAAGCTGGGGAACGGAGAAGAGCCTGCATTCAAGAGTTACATCCCGCCACCTGAGAGGATGATCATCGTAAGATGTAGAAACTATGTGCATGTGACCCTTTTCCGGCGGTAGAACGTTCGTCAGTTGATAGTAATTGTTAGTACCACCACTTGTCTGGCGTTCTGCTGAGCCAGAACGGTCTCGAGCGTGCGATAGCGCATCTATCGCATTGCAACTACACCTTGAGTGCTCCGATTGTCTGAGGGCATGCATACATAGCTGTGTCGCACAGATCTGGCATCACACAGCATTTTCAACCTTGACTAGCTCCAAGTACGTAGAGATTCCGTTTCAATGTTTCACAAACTCGAGCGAGAGTAATACACAATGGCAAACCTGTGGTCCATGAAACCGGCGGGCAGAGGGGTAGTTATTGTATGACTACATCCTGTACATCTTCGTGTTACGTTCTCTCCGTTCCTCACGCCCGCTCTGTTGACGGCAAATTGACAGCAGCGGCCTCGTTGACAGCTACTCCTCATAACGTCAACACGTGGCCGACGACATTTGGGACTCTTATCAAACGGCTCAGACGGTTTGGCAAGCACGCAATCAAGCAAGCCAAGCAGACAGAGACAAGATTGAACCCTGACATGGGCCTTACTCGCCGGGTGGATTCCGTGCCCCGCTTCCCCCGACGTTTGCCTGTTTCAAAGATGCTCAAGTGATTTTTGCTGGTCGCCAGTATGCGCTAGAATGGCGCTAGAAACCAGTTCCCAGGTGGATGCTGGCAAGGACACGGTCGCCTGCTGTATTACGTACCCAAGAGACCATAAAGAGGCGAAAAAAAAAAAAAAAAGGTTCTTGACTCCGTTGGCTCCGTATTTGGTCGTCTGCCATCCAGTCATACGTCTAGCTTGGATATTTTAATATGGGGCAGAAGATTCTCTGGAAGAGGCGCACGGGTCACACTGAGGCAGGTGGCATCGTCCAAGTAAGATGATTGGCCCTGGACGAACTTAGAAATCACGTCTGGCTACGGAGTACCTGTGACTCTTTTCCCTATCCTTGTCCCATTCCAATCGAATGACGAGGAGGCCGAAGGCGGCAAGATCGTCAGACCACAGCCCTGTCTCACGCCCAAAACGCCGCAAAGTTTTGCAGGTGCTGAGATTACTTGACTGTTTGACAGCGCTGAAACGTTGGAAACATGGGAACATTCAAGGCTTTTTTATTTTATTGTTCTTTATATATATGTATATGTATATTTTGCCTTCGTAGGACGGCGTCTGCCTGCATCTTTACTGCTGCGTAAATCATCTTCACGTGAACCTTGAGTGAAAACTATCAATTTCGAGAAGACTAGCCCCGTTATCAACACACATCAACAAACTCATACTGAAGGACTGTCCACAGCCTCTCCCGCTCCTGGCTTCCTTGATGTCGCAAACGGGTTGAGGGCATCCAATAAAGGAAGAGGAGAAAATTCCACTCGCTAACACATCCCCTCCCCATTGGCCCTCAATGTCTCTGGGAGAGGTTGTTTGGACGGAAACCATGGTCTGATAACTACCGCCTAGGTAGTGATCTTCCCGAGCCTGGTTTTCTGCGACCCTGGCGTCACATCGCCACATCTCGTAGTTCACCAACTAGTCGTCATGGCATTCTGCACGTGAATAATCACCGTCACCACATCATCTCGGCTAGATATCGTGCTATGACTTGACGAGTGCGTGCAGCCAGCTGCTGTGCTCGTCCGTTCGGGACATGGTGCGCTGACAAATTGGTATGACAATATGCCCGCCGTGCCTCTTGTCACCTACTTTACAATTCCTCTGCCCCGCCGAAAGTCCAGTCGATCTATTGTAGGCGTGCGTGGGCTCCAATAGTATTGCAGTATTGCAAGAAAGAGAACTTTGTCAATTCTGTTGCCTCCCGCCGTGCTTCAAATCCCCAGACCATGGGAGGTGAGCTAAGGGACGGAGCCCGGCCGAGAGACAAAATGTCCGTTGTACGTAGCGCCAGGTCCGGCATGCGGCCGAATAATGTTCATGCTCTCTTCTCTCTCTCATTTGAGCAAGCGGAGTAGCAAGCTCCAGTTGGAGTGCAACACCAGACTGAATCCTCTGGCTTCTCCTCATCTCATGGCCTCCGGCCGTTACACTAGACTAGCACTTGAGAAGTCGATCCCGGACTCATGTCCATGTCCGTCTGGAGTACATATATACAACCCATGGTAATTGCGCTATTTGCACCGATACATGTCGGTTTTTTTTTTTCAAGGAAAAAAAATAAAATCACATCGTGAGCATTTCCCCTCTTTGATACCCCTAGCAGATAGCTGAGATGGACTATCGTGTCATCGGAGCATCTCGCGCATGCACCCGAGTCGTGTTCACTTTCGCCTTGGTACTCCGAACATAGAGCGCCGGGCTCGTATGAATTGGTCTGATTTTTCAACGCGGTCGGCGACACCGCGATGCAAGTCGCAACGCCTTGGCAGATTTCTTAGCAGAACTTCCAACCAGCTGATTTTCTAGAACCCTTCCCGCCTTAGCTGCCCTGGGCTTGTACGACCAGGTTTTGCCATGTTTTTCACAAGGCTCCGGGACCAGGGTGTTTTCAATCTTCGTCCAATATCCACTCTGGACGGTCATGCCGACGCACGCGCGGAGATCGGCCGACAATGGAAGCGGCCAGGTCCAAGAACCGAGAGCCACTTGGTTCGATCAGGAAGCAGTTTCGCCCCCCCCCTTTTTTTTTATAGCCTCCCGGTGCGAGATGCCCCAGGCCCCCAGACGTACAATATATGATGTATCAACCGTAGTCATACGTTGCATGTCGGCTGAGCTACGTGACTGGGACAAGACTCCCAGATCAAGCCGTACTGATAGAATCAACACATCAACACCTCCTCTCCGCATCGGCTGATTCCCAAGCCATACATCAACACATCCCCTCCGTGTTAAAGTTCAACATAGCCATCCTCGGATCGGGTGGGACCCATTTAAATGCGGCGGC